TCTAACGGTGTTAGGTATGATAATACGATTTCCTCGCAAAGTTCATCGTTCTTGCTTTCGTTAAATATCTTTGAATCACCGCTTTTGGTGTTGCCGCCTCTATGACGGTATATGTATATGGTATTCGCTCCCAACCTCGAAAGGTTCTTTGGAATAGGATGGGCACAGCTGAGACACACAGTCTGCAATGTTTTGTTTCGAAGGTAGATAAATGATTTTGAATTTGAACGCTTGTAAGCGTAGCACCCACCTTTCAATCCTGGCGGGCGGCTTTGAAGACGGTTTGAAAATTACTTCTAGGGGTTTATGATCCGTCTCTAGTTCAGCGCTGGTGGTTTAGCCAGCATTCGTTTTAACTTGTCGAATGCTTTTTGATGCGTCGATGTCCAAATGAATTTGACGTCTTGCTTTATGATTTGTCTCAATCAATGAATCCAAGAATGAATACCAAGATCAGGAACAAATTTCCCCATATACGTCACAAGACCCAGAAAACTCCTGACTTCTTCCTTAGTGTTAGGGATCGAAATTCAAGGATAGTTTTTACTTTGCTGTCTGCTGCCTCGATTCCATTTACTGACAGCTTGTGGCCTAAAAACTCCTAGTTTTGGACTTTGAATAAACATTTGTTGTCATTAAGAACGGCGTTATTTTCCTTTAATGTTTTCAGCACCTTTGACAGATTTGTCATGCTCTTCCTCGGTACCTCCGTAAATAATAATGTCATCTATGCAGTTTAAACATCCTTCACACTCTGCAAATATGGCCTCAATAATACGCTGAAAAATTTCTGGAGCCGAATTGACCCCAAACAACAAACGTGTATATTTAAACATTTCCTTGTGTGTAATACATGTCGTTGTTGGGCGACTTTCTTCATCTAATTCCACCTGGTGGTATGCGTTAAGCAGGTCCAACTTTGAGAAGAACCGCGCGTTTCTCAGTTTAGTTACAAACCCATCAAAGGTTGGTAAGGGATAATTTTCCCGCCGAATAGCTTCATATTTGCCCTCTGCATATCAATACAAATACGGATGTCGCCACCCGACTTGAAAATTACTACTATTGGGGACACCTATTCGCTAGGTTCACGGACCTTCTCAATTATTCCTTTAGCTAAAGTCTCGTCCAATTTCTGTTCTACTGCTTCTTCCACCGTGATGGGTACCTTTCGAAGAGGTTGTCGAACCGGTTTTATTCTCGGGTCTATGGTAAGCTTAACTAACACGTTTTTGATTTTCAGAAACGACGTGTTTTCCACTAAAGCATTTACGTTCAAACCCATCTTCAGTATTCCCAGTCGAAGAGCGGTGTCTTTTCCTACTAGAGATGTCTCCTCCTTCGAAAACAAAGAAATCCGCAATTATTTCTTGCCTTGTTCCTACTGTGATTGTGGACCGAAATTTGTGATCGACTAGTAACATTCCAGAAGCGTAAGGTTTCAACGTTTTCTCACTACTTAGGCTCAATTTCCAGACTACAGTTTTATTTCGCGTCAACTTTTTCCAATCTGTGCCGTTTATAACGTTCACTTTTGACCCGGAATCGATGAGCATGGTTATTTTAACACCTCCCCCACGATGCATTCAATTAGTCCATCTTTGACTGCTGAATTGTCTACCACTCGACCACCTTAAAACAATCAAACCTCTCGATTTCTACTTCTCGGTCCTCTTCTCACTCTTGTGAGAGGTCATCCGCTCGATTTACTGCATTCCGCCATCTCTTCGTATTTCCTTTTGGTTCAAGCCTAGCAGGTCGCTTAGTGGTTCTCGTTCTGCATTTGGTAGCAAAATGCCCCACTAACTCACAGCGGTGACACTTAACTTTCGATTCTTGTGATCGGTCCTTCCACATCTTGCGCATTCATTACTTTGCCTTCCCTTTATCTCCACCTTATTAATGTGAACGTACGACGGACCTGGTTCTGAGTTAACTTGGTTCATTACTGTGGATTGCGTGCTTATTTCCTCATGTATCCGACAGTTCTATGACTTCATCTAGACACCTCTCTTTCTCCAATAATTTCTTCTTCAGTTCCACCGGTGCCCCTGAGTCGATCAACTTGTCTTTTAAGTTGATATCTATGGCTTCGATTTTGGAAGTCCCAAATGCACATTTTGACGATTGTCGTCTTACTCTTAACAAGAATTTAGTAAAGGTTTCTCCACCTTCCGTTTTAATGGAGTTAAACACGTGACGTTCAAAAGTCGAATTCTGTTCCGGAGAAAAATGATCGTTTAACTTTTTCACTAATACTCCAAAAACGTCATTTTTCTGTTGTTCGTCGTATTCTTCGATGGCCCTGGGAAGATTATATGCCACGTCCTGTATCTCAAAAATGCAGTAACTTACTGCGTTTTTTTCTTAGGATGTACTATTTCTTCCGCCTCAAAATACAATTTAACCGATCGCAACCATTTCTCCCATTCTGTACGTAACAGAGCCTTGTCTATATTGTCACAAAGGAACGGTTTTATGTTACAATACTCCATTTCAAGGTGCTTTTTTTTTTTTTAAAAAAAAACCTATTGTATAATACTTATTTAATCTTGTCACAGTGACGTTTCTTTTACTCACTTTGCTTGCGTAACGGATTATCCGTTTCTGTGTCCGATCTAACGGACGCCCTATGTGCGCAGTTTAGTGCGCCCCTTTGAGTCCGATTGAACAGACGCCCTATGTGCGCAGTTTAGTGCGCGCCCTTTTGATCCGATTTAACGGTCACTCTTTGTGCGCAGTTTAGTGCGCGCCCTTTTGGTCCGATTTAACGGTCACTCTTTGTGCGCAGTTTAGTGCGCGCCCTCTGTGTCCGATTTAACGGTCACTCTTCGGTTTGACTTTGCAACCGATTTGTATTAGGAACATAATTATGTTCCCCCTTTTCTTTTCTTACCGAAATAAGTTTCTTTTAAATCCTCGTCGCCAATGTAATAACCCAGTAAAACACCACTATTTGAAAATACGCTTTTTATTTCAACTCCAACAAACACATCTAACTCATAGACAGTTCCATGACAGTTCTCTATCTAATGACAAACGCCTACTCTTCTTTCTCGTTCCGATCCGCATCCACTGTGGGTCTCCACAGTTATAATAGGCTTTACTGAATTGGGATTTTACACCTACCAACGTTTGTTTAGATTTTACAACAAGCGATTTAATGGGCGGTGTACTATCTTTTTCAACGCAAATCGTTTTATTCCAAAGACGATGATTTTTATAAGCAAACGTCAAGTGACATTTCCATGGCAATCGTGAAATTAGGAAAACCCAGCCCACTTAATTAGACATGTATTCGAGTATAACCAATATTCTTTGGTATAACGTCAATATGATTTCATTGTATTTCCTATTTTTAAATTATACTGCAGGTATAATAAAAAATACTATAAGATACACGTGTATAATTGGTCTTTAAAGCACTTGCAACGTTAAAGGCACTCCGCTTTGCGTCGTGCCCTTAAACTCGTTGCGCGTGCTTTAAAGACAATAGATCAAGCGATGCCTGATTAGCTTCTTCTAAAATGTCTGAGGGAATGTTTTCCTATTTCCTGATGAAAAATTACAGAAACGACCAGTACACAAGCTACTGTTTATACCGCCAAAGAGTACTGTTGTGTATTAAGCCAATATGGCAACCCTGCATATAAATATGGAAAAATGACATTTAGCTAGCGGGGTTATGTTCAAGTCAGTATGTTTAAGCTTTGATATAACGCATTATTATTTTTACCCAAATGTGTATGTGCTGGTTGGAAATAAAGTGTTATCGCATAACCCGGTTTATTTTGCAACCCTGACACAGTACATTACAAGTACACTCTTTGATACCGCTACCATGGCAACATAACTTCACCATGGATACACCCTAAATTTTTTAGTGTAACTAGATGGCAAGCAGTCATCATACCGTAAAAATTAATTATCTTTGCTAAATTAAAGTTGAGGTAATAGAAAAATCATATGTATAACTCTGGAGGAAAGTTATACATATCCCTTCCTTGTGTGATTTCTGCCCTCCGCTTCGCGTCGGGCATTATACTTCACACGCGAGAGGGAATCTTTAACTTTCCTCCCTTGTTATACAAATGTAATGTAATGTATATTATTATTGTGAGTTATTATATTTATTTAATTTAATTTAATTAATATTGCATAACATGTTTTTTTTATGTGTAATGTACACTTTAAACTTGTTATTGTTATAGGTAATTTATTATTGTTGTTCTTTTTTGGGGTTTCCCTGTAAATAAATATTATTATTATTAATTAATTAAAAATAGCTATTCCAGGTAACCATTGATTATAAATTGTGTGACTTTTCGTCCCTCATTGCCTTTCAATCACGCCGGGAGGGAGGAAAAGTAACACTTTGGAATATTGAATGTGAAATACAAAGCACGTTGGTTAATTTAGTGTAAGTACTTTATGACATCCTAATTTAACGTAGATGTTGAATTTAATTATTCTGTTAAAAAAATTGGTTCCAAATATGTTATATTTTACAAGAATAAAGGCACACCGCAACTGCAACTGTGAATAGAAATTTTCTGGGGCTGTTTGTTCCACATTCAAAATATGGATTTTAGATGGTGGTATTGCCATCTGTACTAGACGCGAATAAATCAGGACACAATCTTGAATTTTCTACAGAACCCTCATTCTGTCTTTGAAAATCGCCTCTAAAAGAAAGAATCTGTGATGATGGCAAAGCATTACAGATGGCAGCATGCAGGCAACCGCGCGTAAATTGTACATTTTCGAATTGTGAGAAAGTTCTACCCTTCCTATGGTTTATAAAAAATTGTTAGGTATACAGATTTGCAGATTGATTGATCTAATAGTTTATATGCAGTTTCAAGTAATGTGTTTAAAATGATAAACTTGTATCTCTATTTCATAAAATTAAAGCGAAAATGTGTAAAATTGGATTATATACGGATTTATACCTTCGCATATACCTACCGTAGAATAGAAATGTATAGGTTGGGCGGCGCATTTCAAACACGACGACGCCGACGCAACAATACGGGCGCCGCGACCCATAAAGCCGTTGAGGAAAATCATAGTGCGGCGAACTCGTTTTGCGAACAGACGCGCGTACGGTTTTTCTCTTTTTCGAATACGAAACGTTTACCCGCAGTGATATTTTTAGCTTTCGTTTACAAACATTCGTACCAAAAATATCAAAGAAAGTGTTTCCGTAAACAAGATGTTTAGGTGTTGTGTTGTGCGATTCTTCCTAATTGGATTAAACTAATTTGTAATTAATTACAAAATCAAGAAGCTTTGGATTGCGTTTCGATATACTGAGCTGGATTTTTTAGTGTGTGAAGATGAGTTAGTTAGATAGTGTTTTCTCGGGAAGGAAGCGCCGAGATGAGAGACATCTAAGAATGCAACGCGCAAAGGGGCTAATTTTTGCGCCATGAGCCCCGGGGCATGGCGGTTGCCACCCTGCTGATGTTGGCAGCGGCGTTGGCCCTCGCGGCCCCCGATTGGACCGACTGCCCAGCACCTTGCATCTGCAAATGGTCAAATGGAAAGAAGACGGCGCTGTGCAGAAATGCGGGGTTTACAACCCTTCCCGAATCTTTAGATTCTGAAATGCAGGTCTTGAATATATCGGGCAACTCAATTACTAAATTGGGTAAGGATGCGTTCAAGAAGGTCGGACTGGTCAATCTTCAACGTATCTACATGCGCGCGACAGGTCTTCGTGACATCCATAGGGATGCGTTTCGCGAGTTAATTATCCTCGTAGAGGTCGACTTATCAGATAACGAAATAGCTAATTTGCAGGCGAACACGTTCTTCGGCAATGAAAGACTTAGAGTGTTGTGCTTGAATGGAAATCCGCTAAGGAAACTTGGACAGGCACAATTCCCAACGCTCCCTCATCTGAGGACTCTCGAGCTTGAGGGCTGTCAGTTAGAGAGTGTGCATAGGAACTCGTTCATTCATTTAGTTGCTTTAGAATCGCTCAACCTGAAATCGAACAAGCTGAACAATTTGTCAGAAACGGCCTTTATGAACTTTGCCCACTTGAAATCTCTCGCGTTAGATGGAAACCCTTGGAAATGTGATTGCGATTTACGCGGCTTTCGTGATTGGTTTCTAGCAAGTAACCTCCGTTCGGTGTCATTAATATGTAAGGAACCCGAACACTTGATGGATGTGCCGTGGGAAGATGTGCCCTCTGATCAATTTGCATGCCCTCCTCAGGTTAGTTTCCATTTTTTTTTAGATTAATAAGTCACTTAACCATTTTCATAAAATTTATTAGTTTTATGCTTCCAATATTTTACGGTATAAATCTTCTACAGAGAAAAGAAAATATTTGGATAACGTACGGCCAGATTCTTTCGGTTGAAACTGCACCTTGCAGTCTGATTTTGACGCGTTTTCTCCTCCATTGAAATAAAAGCTTGGTAGAGTTTGAACGTTTATAATCGATTGAATCCTATACGCAAATGAAATGTTCGCGCTTGTAATTTTAAATTAATTAACCGTAAGCTTTATCCTTCGAAGTAGAAAATTTTCAAATGACTACTGTTAAGGGAGACTGGATCCGACAGGGCTATAAATAACGTATATTGTTTATTCATAACATCTTGAATGGACAGAGATTAACGATTCTTCTTAAAGATCCAATTTAATGGCGAGAACTAAAAATTGAAACAATTTTATGGTTTTTCATGAGATACATTTTTATATTACTCCACATTCTACGATCTGATGAAATCAGTGTTGATTTTTACAATATATCTTCCCTGGAAAACAGTCCTTATTTAAACGTACCAAATAATAACTTCTGCTTGAGTAATAAAACGTAAGGAAATAATGGCCATTCCTTGTTTTTAAATCTCATTTTTCGTATAGGTAAACTTAAACTACCATGAAGCTGCATGGGTTTCTTAATCAGGATGTGTGTTGAAGGGGGGTTATACTAAAATTCAAACCACCTCCTAAAACTGCTTCGTAACCTGTTGAAACATCTATACCTACCTATATAATTTAGTAATGACCTTTCCGAAGTATTTACCCTGGTATATTTACCTTTGATCTGAATACACTCCAAATAAAATATCAGTTTTTCATCAGTAACAATTCAATTTTTGTTAGCATCCTCGTTTAAACTTCGGGGGCATTACTTTCTACCATTTGACTCGACTGCAAAGGCCTTTTTGCGATCAAATGTTCATGTTAAATCGTGTTTCTTGATCTTCACGAAATTTTTCATACCCTACAATGCTCTATTTCATTGTAGTGGTGATTTCCATTTCAATTCTTCTGGTCTCTGTAATAATCCATTTTAAAATGGCTCCAGTACATTTAAAACTCAATCCTTTTGAGCTGAAATTGATATTAGAATTCTTATTGTTGAAAGTCGATATATGGGTGAGAAACTCCTTCATTTGGCACTTGGAAGCGTCTTGCTACAAATAGAACTTTTCTTCCCGTCCTCTTTGCTTTTAAATAACTAACTGGTATCTTTGCGTATTGCTTCCAACCTTACCTATAAGATCTTAAAATTTGACCATTTGCTTTTTCAAGAAAAAAATAACAGGCAGTTTTCTAGCATTATGCGAGTGGTTATAAATGTACAAAACGGTTATACTTGCCCCAAAATCCAGTACAAATGATATCTCGCCACATTCATTCTTACTACAATACACTACACAGGGTGCCCATTTATGGATGGAATATAGTATCTCGGTTTGTTTAACATTTTATTTCCCATAATAAGGCAGCATTCAGTTGTTTTTATTTCCGAAAACAAATGAGTAACGAAAAACAATTGAATTTTTTAAAATTGCAGTGCGTGAGTGCACATTTCCATTAGGCTCATTTGATAGAGATTTTTTTTCTTTTCAATAATATAACATGTTAGTTATTCAAGAAAATTTTTCAAAAAAATGTATTATAATTTGATCAATAACATTAATCCAGATATCCTACATCAAAATAAAACAAATGAACGTGTACGTTTCTTATTAAACCGTGAAGACAACACGAAGTTAGTAGTAAAATGGTTTCATCTCAATGAATGTTCACCAATAACTGCAAGACAGTGGCATAACCTATCACAAAAAGCTTCAAATAAAAATTAATTTTTTCTACACCTGTGCTAACGTTTTACGTCATTGAAAAGAGAAAAAAATCTCTATCAAATGAGCCTAATGAAAGTGTCCATTGCTATTTAAAAAAATTCAACTGTTTTTCGTTATTCATTTGTTTTCTGAAATAAAAACAATGGCATGCTACCTTATGGGAAATAAAATGTTTAAACAACTTTCATATAGAAAAGTTCTTTGCGTATATATACAAACTAATAATTGAAAGTAATTTAACAATAAAAACTAGGTAATATTATATTCACTGATGAAATCTTTTACTTAACGCCCAATATTTTTGCTATTCCATCTCTGCAGCTACTAGATTCCAGCAACCTTTCCCGCAGCCCTCCTACTAGGTACCATTTAAGGCGCCTATTAGGGACTATAATAAGATTCCTTAAAAGGGTATGTAAAGCCGCTTAATTTAGTTTGCGAAATAAAGCAGATTTATTGGAAGAAATGAAGGAATTTGTCGCACTCCATTATAAATACTTGCCCTGAGTCTTCTTTTTATTTGGCGTTGAATGGAATGTATCATAAACGAGGAGTCTAATAACCATTATCTCTATTGCGATGATGAGTTCACATCCTCCCTTTATAATGTTTACATTTTATGGTTGTTATAGCTGGGAAAATTATAATTTCTATCATACCTTATAGGCAAATGAGATAGGTACTATTTTTTCTTTAGTAAAGTTATAGGATATAGGATGCGTTGCAGGAATGCATAAGACTATGCAGGATGCTCAACTACGAGCTGACGAAAAGTAATGTGAATAGGTTTTTGAAAAGTTGTACAGAGTGGGTCAAATTCAGGTTAAATGGTGGCAAAGTTGCCTCTTTTTATGACTAAAAGAACTCATTTGAAATTTTTTACTTCGTTGAAAATACCTAAGATATCATCGAAAAACTTAAAATGTCAAATTTCGTTTTCATTTTTCCTACCTTAAACCGTTGGAAATGAATGGTTCCTGTTAGCACCTTCTAAGTATAGGATCTGAATCTATTATCAAAATTTCCATAACACGTTAGATGTAGAAGTTACAGGGTACTACTTTCTTATTTCTTATGGGCGCCGTATTGGATTTGTACGTAACAAGATAAGAGGACAGAAAAAGAAAAATAATGACGTATCAGCGTGTCACATTATAATTTTACGTAAATTTACAAGAAAAATTTCAAAATCAAATGTTTTACATTCATATCTCAACAAATCATCCACGGGTAACTAGATCTTGCTATGAAGGCGATGCATTCAAATGGATCAATTTTTTTGTCTTCTAATATCTTATTCTATAAAAATCCAATATGGTGTCCATAAGAAATAAAAAAGTAGTACCCTGTAACTACTATATCCAGCGGGTTATGGAAATTTTGATACCAGATTTAGATTCTCGGAAAAAGAATGCTCATAGAAGGTGCTAAGTGGAAACGTTCATTTTTGATCTTTTAAGCTAGGAAAAATGAAAACAAAATTTGCCATTTTCAGTTTTTCGGTCAAAAGTTTCAAATGCATTTATTTAGTCACAAAAAGGGGTAATTTTGGCCCCATTTAATCTACACTGTATCTCTCACCGTTACGGAGATCACAATGGTGAGTCACCAAGTGAACCACCCTGTACATACTTGTTTCGCCTACATTTTTTTTTATTCGACATGCTGTTACACCGGAAGCTGGCGCACACACGTTGTTATTTTCAACGGCATGACCGAGTTTTATTCATTTCTTTAAATCTACGCAAAATTTGGGGATAACTTTGATATAAGAGACCATAAAGTATTTTTTTAAATAAAGCTGTCCAATGCACTCGTAGAGAGTGTTCTCTGCTCAGATTCAAATTTTACAATTTTGGAAATGGGAGCACTTTTTTAAATGCAATTATTTCCTTTTGTTTATCAATAGATTTTACATAGATTACATAATAAAAGTAGTTTGTGATTGTATTCCTAAACCCCTGCCTATACCTAAAATGAACGAGTTATGTAGAAAAAGGCAATTTGAGTTATTTTTTTCGGAAAATAAAGTATTTTAGGTATTTTTTCTTGAAAAAGGTATTTTTTGTACCAATTTCATGCAGTGGTTTGCCCATCGTCAATTCCCTTGGGAACTGCGCTAAAAAATAAAAAAGTATCCGCAATTGGCCATTATTAAATAATCGAACAAAATTATATTTTGAAAATTACATAGACCTTGGTTTTTAAAAGGAATGTAAATTATCGGTAATTAGTTGATGAATAAAGGCTAATAAAACACTTATTCTCTATTATGTGAATAAGTCACGTAGAAATTATTTGCCGGAAGTCGTACCGATAGTTTAGCTGCTTGCCTGGTTATGCACACATGTTCATATTGAAAATAGTGTAAGTAACAAATAAGTCCTTTTAAAGGAATTATGAGAACAATACGAGTATTCGTATAGATATGCAGTGAAGTAGCAGAAGCGTTTTTCTTTTACAAAATTTAGAGCGGGAACGTTCAATTCAAAACTGTTAGATATGAAACATCACAGCGCATAAATAAAAGATACGGTAGGTACAAAAAAGTAGAAACTGCAATAAAAATAATGAAATTGTAACTAATTTTTTATTTACCAAAATTTGGACTAGGTACCATAAACGATAATGACTATAAGTACCGGCATGGTAAATATTCTGACCAAGTTTGAATTTGCTTACCTAACGTAACTATAAAAACATTAAAATTAAGAGCAAGTTTCATACACAAAACAGATTTAATTACACAGTACTAAATGAAAACTAATTAAGTAATTCGTCATGCCTAACACTGTAGAGTGTAGGGGGCTATACTCTATAGCTTGAGAAGTAAATCCATTTTTAGGGAATTATTTCGAAAGAAATTCCCCTTATGTGGTGGTTTTGTCCGCCCGTCTGTCTGTTCCCCGTCTAATTCGAGAACGAAAAGAGACAGCGATTTCAAACCCCCGCCAATCTACGAATTCAAGGATCAGTGCTGTTGAATATGAGCCGGATTAATAGTCGTGTTTCCGAATGACAGCCGGGTGTCAAAAAATTCCCCTACTGAAAATAGTATGCGATTCGTATCCTGCTTTTAAAGGGGTTCGGGTTGGCAACTCTAAGTTCAGT